AACTTTTTTCCCCAATTTGTCTTTTTTTTTTCAATTATATTTATATCCGTCATTTCTAATGCTCTTTTCATATATATATATATATATATATATATATATATATATATATATATATATATAATGTCATTGGCAATATAAATCTTCCTCTTCCACAGTTATTTGTCAAAATTGTATTTGAGGTGTATAAACTCCAATCCAATTGTTTCGGAGTCTTCATATTGTGATATTACCAATAGACTGTGTTATCTTATGCATACATTTCATATATCTAATCATTTTGGGTTTTTATATGCTGCCCTTTGAGAGGAGTTATCAATAAGCTATAAGGCCTTATTTGCAGAACCAGTCAAGTGGTTTTCTTGTGAAGGATTGAATGTGCTAACGAGATATATTCAAAATTATGTTGGCTTCTTTCTTAGTTTGAGAAAAAATTTACTCCTCCTACATTGGCAATTAACTATTCAAATGCAGTCTTCATTAACTTTGAGAAATCACCAAAAATTATATTTTTCTGGGGGGAGCTGGACGTGAGCGTGCAGCAACATCGAGTACAGCAAATCAATCACAGGTTCTGTTCTCGGGAGTTGGTACCTCCCGTTTTACTGTTTCCCTTTTGGTGTTAGCCAAATTGATGCAACTTTAGTTCGCAATAGTTCAATCATACAACTAGTGTGCTAGTAGTTACTTGTTTCCTTCTAGTTTGGTTCACGGACCGTTGTGCGCTAGCGAGTCCTCTTTAGCTTGTTGTAGGTGTAGTGGTTGTAGTCTGGGATGATAGAGTAAGGGCATGTCAGAGTGTGGGGAGGGGGCCAGGGGGTAGGACGGGAGGCGGCGGAGGTAGAGAGGGCAAGGGAGCCTATAGGTTGAGAACCGGGTCATGGAACATAGGTTCACTAACGAGTAAGTCTATAGAGTTGGCAAAGATCCTTCAGAAGAGGAAGATTAATGTAGCGTGTGTCTAGGAGACTAAGTGGGTCGGATCGAGGACGAAGGACGCGGATGGGCATAAGTTGTGGTACTCTGAAGTCCTGAGGGGTAAGAATGGAGTGAGTATCTTGGTAGATAGGCATCTTAGAGAGTCGGTGGTAGAGGTTAGGCGGGTGAATGATAGATTAATGATTATTAAGTTGGTGGTGGGTGAGTGTACTTTAAATATCGTTAGCGCGTACGCGCCGCAAGCAGACTTGGATGAGGAGATTAAAAGGCGCTTTTGGGAGGGGTTGGATGAGATCGTGCGTAGTATTCCGCCTGCCGAGAGGTTATTCATAGGAGGCGATTTCAATGGTCATATTGGATCGTCTGCAGGTGGTTATACTGAGGTGCATGGCGGCTTCGGTTTCGGGGAGCGGAACGGAGGGGGAACTTCGCTGTTGGACTTCGCCAAGGCATTCGAGCTAGTGATTGCGAACTCAAGTTTCCCGAAGCGGGAGGAGCATTTGGTTACTTTCCAAAGTTCGGTGGCGAAGACTCAGATTGACTATCTCCTCCTCAGGAGATATGACAGAAGGTTGTGCGAGGATTGCAACGTTATCTCCGGTGAGACCCTCGCAACGCAGCATAGGCTTTTGGTGGCGGATATTGGTATTATGATTAGGAGGAAGAAGAGGTCAGTTCGAGGTCGTCCGAGGATCAGGTGGGGCGCCTTGACTGAGGATAAAGCTTAGGAGTTGGAAGGAAGGTTATCGGATATGGGAGCTTGGAGGAGTAGTGGGGACGCAAACACTATGTGGTCGACGACGGCAGACTTTATAAGGAAGGCGGCGAGAGAGGTGTTAGGGATATCTTCGGGCCGCACCGGTGGCCACAAAGGAGACTGGTGGTGGAATGCAGTTGTCCAAGTTAAAGTGGAAGCGAAGAAGGCGGCTTACCTGAGGTTAGTAGGTGTCGCGCCCCCTTTTTTCCTCATCGCGGAGAACATCTGAGTTTCGACATTTCATGGGGAAATAACTCTTTTCCTTTTAGGAATTGGGTTTTTTGAAGAGTCGCCACCTAACAAATTATGGCGCGTTAGGGCACCTTGAGCAATTAACTCATGGACTAGTTTGCATTACCAGAGATTTAGGGTAAGGGCTCGAAATAACCTTGAGGGGAAGGTGTTAGGCACCCCTCGCGGTCCACAACGGAGGGTCCCAGCCAAACTTATATTCATGTGAATTAGTCAAATAAATACATAAACAGTTTTACCATGTACTTGCAAGTAAAGGCATGTTTTGACATTTAAGTAATGAAACAAGGAAAAAGTTTTGAACAAGTAGCACATATATAAAGAAAAGTAAATTCATGAACAACGGGAGTTGAGAAAGGGGGGTCCTAGGTTGGTTAGCCTACAGGATCATACCCACACAATGTCCGGTAATCACTCCTCAATAAGGGGTTACACGCGACATTAGCGCGTAGTCATCATATCCTCACTACCCAATTCTCTCCCCTTGGTCATAGCCTAAAGCGTTCTAATAACCTTGATAGATATCCTATGCGTGCATTACCCGTCCCTTCTTTGTGGCCCTAGAGGTATTTAGGACCTCTAATTTGGGTAGTTCTAGACCATTAAGGTGTTTTAAAAGAGAAAAGTCTATGCGCCAAACAAAACAAGTAGGGTTGTATTTCAGAAAGGGAAACAACTAAAGGCTCACATTTACCTCCACTAACATAACAAGCAAATGCACGTCTCAGACAACTGTTTTTAAGTATTTAAGAGAAAACCATAGAACATGATATCTAGATGAGCTGACAGTATACAGTATTGGATTAGGACCAAAGTGTGAAAGAACTGAGTCTATTTGCCTACTGATTTTAGACTTGCTGAGCAGAACATGGTTTTATGGTTGCAGAATTTTAATAGTCCTATAGGCTTGCCTAGGCGTATAACAGTGATGTCCTATGAGCATGATATCTATGTTGATTAGGAATGCAGTAAAACAGCAAAACGATTTTTTAAACGACAACTTGAGATCCTATAGGCATGCTTTCTATCAGTATTAATTTGAAACAGTATTTGAAGACTTATTTAAAGAAGCGGACAGATTAATGGAATTAAACCGATTCAGAATAAACAAACATGAGTTGAACTGATTTATTTAACTAAACTGGTTTTAAGTTCTATAGGCATGATTTCTATTCGAGATGATTTTAATTCCTATAGGCATGGTATCTAATCATTAAAAGCCATTTAGATCCTATAGACATGGTTTCTAATTGTGTGGAAGTAAAGCAAACATAACAAACACATTTGAATTAACACAACCTTATAGGCATGGTATCTATCCAATTTACCCAACATGTATATAACTACTCACCATTTTTCACTAATCACCCCAATGTTGTTTACAAAATTATTTCAGACCAATGAACTGAATATAAATTTACATAAATAAACATAAATTAATCTATAGGGCGCCTGTAGCAGGCCCACATAATTTTCAAACCTCCAGTAGTCTCAAATGCCTAAAGTGCCATAGCCAATTTCATGTCCAGGTGTGTCAGTGTTCCCAAAGAACCTCAAGGATCCCGGGCAGTTCTCACACCCAGACTTTCTCAAATAGTAACTGATTATTGTGCAGTGTGGAAAGGCCAGCTCTGACATGCCAGAGTTCAGAGAGATCTCAAGGGTCTCAAGGCAGTACACATATCAGAGGGCACGACCTAGTATTCTAAGAGTGAAGTGAGAGTGCTTGACATAGTTTGAAAAGGTTTTGAAAATAAACAGAGATGACATTAAGAGTTAAAAAAAAAGTCTTCAGAAACAGGCAATAGTTTGGTAGTAAAAGATAGTTTGAGAATAGCACCAAAACTCTTTTGAAAACAGTAGATAATCAATAAAACATTCAGATTCAGAAGCACTCAACAAATAGATCTTCACATGGGATAAAGGGATTGGGCACATAAGAGTCATATATAGAAAACCCAATATGATCGCACAATTAAGGGATTAAATAGATATTCACAAACAAGCTGGTTAAGTGTCAAATGGCTAAGTGAATTATAGACATGCTATTGAACAGGACAGAGTTTAAACATGCTAGTCGAAGAAGTAAGCAGGAAGACAAGAAAAGAATGCAGAATATAAAGCAGAGGCAGTTTCAATGTCTAGCCTTGGTTTCAGCCGGCTAGACCAGTGAGTATCACAAGTAGCAGGAAGAAAAGAGAGTTTTAGAGTGTAAGTATGCTTTTTTTGTGAACTAATGTTCTGTCCTTGAAGTGAGAATAGGAGAATGCTTAGCAAAATAAGGTAAAGAATCAATTAAGTAGCAATTAGAAAAATCCGGGGAATCAATCATATGTAAAATCAGTAAATCTTTCCTTTAATCAAGGGATAATCACTGGTAAAAGAAGGGCAAATGCTTAAGGAAGGAAATCGAGTAAAGAGTAGGTAATTAGGGGTGAATACACAGGAGTTTCAATTAAGGAAACAATCAGAAAGAATCAGTAAAGTAACACATAAGGCAAGAAAGAAAAATTAATTAAGGCAAGCACTCCAATTAAACCGAGTAAAGATGTAAGAATCGAAAGTTTAAGGAAAAGTGTTCAAATCGAACCAGGAAATAAGGGATTCAGAATAATCAAGGGTTCAAT